ACGAGCCCGTTATCCGCGAGATTATGGATATGAATCCCTCCCTTTCCCTACATATATCCAAATACAAGTCATTACTAGGGATCGGAGGTATAGTCGTCCGAAAGTCTTTGGACTGGGAGTTGAAGAGAAAGTTTAAACAAAAGTATGAATTATTTAAATTTTTAAAATTATATAATTTATAAATAAATATTATAATAATATATGACCACCAGGCTCACAATTATATTCGAAACGGGACTCGTGTTATGGTATACCAGAGCTAATAAGATAATAACGGCGAATGAGGAACGGCTTAATTCTGGAGATAGTTATCCCGCAAGTGATAAGATGGGTACGACTGGTGACAAGTTTAACTCAATCAAACTGATTGACATCAAAATATTTGTTATAATTTATTTATCAAAAATGTTGCTGGCTTTTATTATATTGGGAATTGAAGTGTTCGTTTATCGGTGTTAAAAATTTGTTGAATAACGTGTTATGCTTGAGTAATTACTAATTAGTTTAGAAATTCTGTTATTGTAATAATTAAGTTATTAACATTACAAATTATATTGATGTATACATTAGAATTACTCCGTAATTTAGGATTTACTTTATAAATGTGAATCAACACAAAATAAATAATTAAAATATTATCTGAAATAAATTAAGATTTACTTAATTATAAAGATATATTCAACAAACATATGTTTGAATCAAATTTAGTAAAATTTATATTTCTAATTTTATTTACATATTTAAGAAGTTAAATATAATTATTTTTATAATCTATAATAAAGTACAGTATATGAATCATTTTTTAGGCACCAGTTTAACCATACGACATCCCCCACCAGTAGCCACCTTCAGCTCCAAATTAGATCCCTTCATATCCTTAAACACCTCGTCTTTAAACAGGTCTTCCACTGTATATTCGGACACATCTTTTGCACCCGGGATTAGAGTCGATATTTTCTCAGACATCTGTCAATATATCAATTCAATTAATTTTAATTAAATAATGAGAGACTCTCTCTCTCTCTGAATGTTTTATTGCCAGCGGTTATACTGATAATAGGTATATTTGCTGTCGTATGCTGGTGAACAACAGGTGAAACCCGAGATGGACAAACTGGGTCTGGACAAATAAGAATTTATCATCCTGAATTAAAAGCAGATATTACAATTATAATTTCATAATACAGTATGATTTCTATAATAGCTTACAATGAACACCCTCTTAGCCATGATTCCATGTTTATCCTGATTAACGGCAATAATTTCCTTATTTTGCAGAATTTGTTTGTCTTCGGGCTTAAGGTCTCTCAAGTCGTTAGACATATAAAGTGGAGCGGAAAACATGGCCCACATTGCCATATGGGTGCGACTCTGCTCGTAGGATAACCCGAAGTCACCCACCATTACCATGTCTGTCCATTCATATCAATTTATTATTTATACTGTAGCGTACTGTTACATAAATATAAATTTTTATGCAGTCCTACCTGGATCATTCCAATGTCCGGGTCCTATTAAATTTGGAAAAATAGAATAATATTTAATAAATATAGTTATTTTGATGATAATGTAAATACCGTTATATTTAATGAATTCCTCGTTGTTATCGCCATAGAATTGAATGATAGATGAGATTGAGGCCCAACTGTCGCCTACATCGCCGTGATTTCTATACACGTGACACGTGTTGGCAATCGATGTATAATTGGGTTTAATTTTTCCGTGCAACTGATATAATGGCCACTCGCATATGAACACCATGTGGCGACCTGGCACAATATAAATATTTAATAAAAATGATTTTCTCACTGTTCTTACGATAATTTTTTAGAATTTATATGATTTTATGTGTTAATTGTAAATTAATTTTTGTTAGATCTTTAGATCATCTGCCCATATAAAAAATTCTCATTGCAAAATATTTAATAAAATTAATATAATATATTTGTTGTGAACCTACAGTTTTATCAAACCCTTTTATAACATTAATTTTTAGGTTTAGATATAATTGAAATACTGTAAACTACCTGTTTTATTAAGCGATTCACCCATTTTAGGGTACAATTCATCCATATTTTTGGGATCTTCATTACATCCGTCAAACTTGAATGAGTCGATCCCCCACTCGGCGAATGTCTTGGCGTCGATGTCGAAATAGTCACCCTTTCCTGTCTTACCATTTTGTGCCGGATATCTGTTTCCAACAAAACAATCATAACTTTATTCAATCACTAAAATATATATAACTATTAGACATACTTAGCACAAGTCAATGG